CTACCATCCAGTATCTTTACAAGCTCGCTTGTGACTTTTCTGTTTTTGAAACAACCCGAGGCACGTTTCAAGTCCTCGAAAGACAGACTCGCGTCGGAGACCACGCCTTCTATCTCCACATCTCGAGAAGGGATGTAGATGTTGTACTCAACACTAAAAAACTCGTGATCAGCAATTTTTTTTGCAACATCATAATTCGGTGCTTCTACGCGCAGTTTGTTGAATCTCTCCTTATGTACCAAGATTCCCGGATACTTACGCAGCAAGTCTCTCGAAATGTCGAGAGTTTTCAAAGGTTTATTTTTAGGCCGAAAAAAGACAACCCATGGTCCTTTCGAAAGTGGTTTACCTGGTTTGCACAACGTTGGCATCAGAAGATGCCATAAGTGTTTCGCAAAAGTGGTGCACAAGGAAAAAAATAAAAACCTTCTCCAATTGATTAATTTTAGTTACTATTCATTAAATTTTTTGCACGGCGTACAAGCAAATTAAAGAGAAAAAAAAATCAAGAAAAAAAAACTTATATCTAGTTTCAACAAGTTGTCTCACTATGAACCATACTCCCTTACCAGGGGTGAGAGACAGAGCCACGCACCACGAGGCAAAACAAAACTACAATAGGGAAGCAATGGACTTGCAAAATATATTGTCTAATACTTATGCCGGTTGTGTAAACAACCTATCAGTCAAGGTATTCCGTTAGCTGCTGCTATTGACGGAGATGGTGCGATGATGATGATCGATCACTGGGTTAAAGATGGACAGTCTATACGTAAGACTCAGCTTACGATAGCTGCTTCCGAAAACCGTGCGCGATTCACCTGAACACTTTTTTTTAACAACGAGAGCGATGGAAACGCGGTAAAAAAACGAGTGTAGTATGAAGAAACCAGGACGCTGTTAACTGGCTCAGCGCTCGGATACGGAATGATTACTCTGCTGTAAACAACGGTCAGCGAGGTACAAATTCTACATTCGTACCCGTAGGTACAAATATCACCGCTGCTTCAAATTCTTCATCTATACCTACTCCCTTCGCTGCTAACAATGTTCAGCGAGTAAATCGAGCTACCTATGCTGCTATTGCAACGGGTACAATTCAAAATACTAATACTAATTTTGAAAATTTTGGCTTAGGAAGCATTACTGCTCCTAAAATGAAATTTTTACAGAAATCATTAATTGAAATGATTACTGATATGCTTAAATCTAACTCAACGTTTGATGCTATTCAAACTGGAGTAAAATTTGAGAACCATATTGTCATGACTTTGAAATTCAGCAATGGATTTTAAATCATTAAATTAAAATATTGGAATTCTCGATCTCTTAAAGATAATAAAGACGAACTATTTAGTCAAAAGCCTACTGTGGAGAGATAAAAGTAATTTCTCATACCGGTGTTATTTATTTGTTCATTCTGTTGGTCATGAATAGCATTGTAATTTTAAAATAAGACAACTATGAAAATTCAGAATAATAGTCCTGGATATTGATTTATTATGTATCCCAAATGTTAGTAATTATTTTCCAATCAATGCAACCGCCCTCCTAGTGTGTGAGTTGTAGTTATAGTTTTGATTAAATTAATTATTCGATGTCCTCTTTTCTTTCGAGAAAGATTGCATATCGTCGGTTTCGTGCTATACTGACACAACTTAAAATCTGTGAATTTACTTAATCAACGTTTGAAAATTTAGGTACAAAAAACCTTCTGCATTTCTGTGTTACGTTTTAGTTTTACGTTTTAGTTTTACGTTTTAGTTTAACGTTTTTATTTCTATTGGGCTAAATCGAATGTGTTTCAGTTATTCTATCAAATATTTGATCAAAAGTAAACATAAAAGTCCATCGATTTTTACTCCTTTTTATTTAAGGTGTGCGCTTTTGTCATGCAAACATTGGTTTATCTTTTTGAGCTGTGACCATATTGCATGAAAACAAACAACATGCTAACAACAAAATTGCATACTTATATGGGCAACACATGCACAGCTCAAAATGTGCCATCAATGCTACTTTATTTTTGGATTTTTGAAAAAATAGCAAAGGCATATCTACTTATAACCTTCGATTTTTTAGGAAGATCAAGATGGGTTTTTGTGGTATGCTACTTCACACTATTTGCTGTCATTTTCCATCAAAATCCCAAAAATTAAAAGTTTCTACTTGTGATAGTATTGCAAGAAACCGACCATATAAAAAAAATGCATTCTGAATCAATTTATTTATACACACTTAGAAAAATTGATGTAAATTAAGGTGCTCTGAGACTGACATATACGAGCGTCTATTTTGACATAAACTTGAGTCATAATAGACACGAAATTCAGCTCAATCAAACGTACGTTCGAACTTTTCAGCCTCGGAGCACTTAATTTTACATGACATATTTGTTTACGTATCATCCTTTATGTCAAAGATGGATTCCGTCACGTGTGAGATTAGGTATTTCTAATTGTGTAGCCACTTTTATACCAAACAAATCATACATTCAATTTGAAGAAAAATGTATACATACTTTGAAATAAATTTCAAAACCGTTGGGGCAAAAGTTCGTTTTGAAAACTACTAAAAAAAAACGTTCTAGCTACACATGGACTGAAAACTCATAAACAATCTGTAAGAGAAAGATCTCATCTTTGAATGGCGTTAGTGTAATTCCAAATGCTTCGAGTATTGAGAAATTTTAATTTGTTCAACTAAAGTTGAACTTTAGCCCCACCGTACTCTATTCCATTGCAAAGATTTTAATAAAAGTATGTAAAATATGACTTTCCTTTCATGAATAACTAAATAATGATCAACAATAGGCATACACTCTCTTCGGCAAAGTTGCTTGCCATAAACTTTCTAATCCAGTTGTATTAAATCAACTACAGGTCTTACTTTAATAACCACTTTTGATATATAACCGTGATTTCTGAGAATTGATCATTTTGTCAAGCTTCTGCATTCATGTTCCATCAGATGTCACAGCTGTTGTTTGCGGTGACATCTATCGGAAACTACACACAATCTGTTTTCCTATAATTGTTCACTGCAGTACAAAACATGTCTGGTACCTCTATATATGCATTTAGATTATTATTCGAAGTCCCTCCTTTTTACACATTCTGCACACAAAATAGCTTACCCCTCACAGAATTTCCCGCCAAATTTTATGTATGGGGCGGGGCATAAAGTATCTTTTGCGAAAAATGTGTAAAAAAGGAAGGACTTCAAATCTTAAAGCAAATGCATATATAGAGGTACCAGACATGTTTTGTAGTGTCAGGTACTCTATTTTGTAATCTGTGAAAGGGAAATCACAAATCGAGTGTCAACAAAATACATGGCATGTTGAGAGATTGAGCTCGTGAGAGAGAATTTCTCTCTCAAATTTGATTTTTTTTGGCTCTCTGGGGACTGGTAGTAAAGCAGGTAAAATTGTATGGGGAAAAATCATTTTTATTTAATTGTAGCTTGTTTAGCATTAATTTCCGGGAAAACTGAACGACAAAGCCCCTAACTAATTTCTTTAGGTTGTCGTTCACTTTGTTTGACCTGAACATGAACCAGAAGCGAATTATTCGCACTTCTTTTAATTTCTATATGAGAATTTTTATCACTTCCTACTAGCGGAACAGCACCATCTCTGTGGAAAATGGTCGAGCAAAATGATTAATTGAAAAAATGTCATGAAAAATTGAGCATCTAATCTAGCAGGCTGTGACAAATTTTACTCTTTTAGTAGGGATCCCAAGGAATGTGTAAACAATATAAAAAGGTTGGGTTGAACTAAATTTTGATGCTTTAGAAATATTTGTTCAGCTATGACTATGAATAATCGATTTTTTTTTTAATTCTCATAGGGGGCTAAATCGCGTTTTTCAGAGCTTCCATACAAGTTTAATTATTTAATGTTTGGAGGGTGAGCCCTACACTAATAAAATTCCACACATTTTATTGACGAATTTCCATGTTAAATTCCACATGATTTGCATGTGACCACACATAAACAGAATCCACCCAGAAGCACACATGAAATTTATGAGTCAAATGAATAGTATGTGTGGTTACACATGGCTTTTATGTGTACACATATTAAGTATGTGTCCAACACATAAATTTCATTTGTTGATTACATTGCAAAAAAATCATGTGTGGGACACATAAAAACAATCTTTGAAATTTTATCAGTGTAGGTTTCCAGACAAAGTGTTATTTTGGGCCACCCTAGTGGACATGCGTTAGCTTAGAAACATCTTACCAATCTGGGAAATCCATCAGATAAAAAAAAACAACAACTTAACAAGTAAAATAAACTGAAAGATAATAAATGAAAACAAAACAAAATACGCGAATCTCTTGTATCGTTTGCCTTTTGTTACAAACATAATATATTTAAATAAAATAAATTTATAACAAAATGTTATGCAAAATTTACTAGAAAATCATTATTTTATTGCTGAGATGTTTCTAATAATGAAGGGCTCTGTTTACAGAACAAATCTGATACTATGATCAGAACTGCACAGTCAGCATGAAGCAGCCGATTTCATCACAGAAGTTTGATTAACAACCAAGAATTAATCGTTTGTGGCATACTGAAGATTTATGAAGGTGATATGTTTCACTATGGAAAATCATCATAGTTGCAAATATTAAGAGACTAAAAATAACCCTTTACTTCAGTAAGGTCAATCTCCATATCCATGGTAATTTGTAACCACTTATGTTCCAATAAAATAAAATGAAAATGAATTGCTCATATGAACATTCCACTAACACTCCATATCTTAATATGAAAAAAAAAATCGGTCAATATAAACGTTTTACGTCTTTGTCTAAACTTTAAAAGCAAATGACGATGCATACAACTCACCATCAAATAAATCACTATCAATGGTGAAGCCTCGTGGAATAGATAGCCTCTATGACCTATATTATTTACTCTCATTTATACGAGCACAAACATCACATCATTAAAGTGTGAATGCAGCCACAGTGTACAAGATCGTCGCAGTTGGATTAGTTCATTAAGGGATTTCAAATTATTTTCAGAAACTCAAAATGAAGGAACAAATTTTTATAATTATTCTGATAGCAACGATTTGTTTGGCACATCCCGATCAACTGAAACAGCAAAGATACGAATTTCAAGAATTTCATACAAGTTCATCACATGATAAAATTGCAAGGTAAGTGGGCCTTTGCTCTTAGGCATTTTCGAAGCTAATAAAACATATTGCAGTTTCCCGGAAAATGGGAGGCTTCAGGTTGCTCCAGTTCCAGTACAACATAAACCTATTCTTTGGTCACAGCAACATCAAAATGAAGTGAATGCATTTGCCGAAATGTTCCGTCAGAAATATAATCAAATGATAAATCAGTACAATAGAATGATGCAAATGCACCATCATTCATTGATAAATCCGTTCATGCCAGGTATAGTTTGAATAATATAGGTTTCTTTGGCCCCATTAAAGTTTCAATTTTCAGTTGCTTATGAACTATACCATGTCCCCGATGAAGTTATGTGGAAAAATTACTTTGGGAAACAACAGCAATACGTTCATGACCAAACCGAGCAAATGTCTCGACAATTAATCCAGGATCTAGAAAAAGGTCGAGTATCGCCTCAGGATCTGATGAATCCGAATTTTTTTGTAGCCCAAGCAGCAAGTGAATTGAATAGAGTTCATCAAGTACAAAATGAGTTCGAAACCAACGACGAGCAAGTTGCCAATAGCTTTGGAGATACTTATCAACAGCATCAATTTGATACTATTAACGCTCAGCAACAACAACAGCATCAAATATTTGCCGAATCTACCCATCATCAAGAAACCGAGGGTAAAGATCAGGTTCTGGTGTACAACCAAAAAACAGGAGAATATCAATATGTAACTACAGTGGCCGCTCCAGAAGTGCCTCCTCATGAAGAGCTGGCAGGTGCTATGATCAGCAATGCAAACATGCAACGTCTTTCGTCTGTTAGATTCAATAACGAAATGTTAAACAAATTCAGCCAAGAAGTTACAAACATTGAAATTAACACACCAGTATCAGTGGAAACGCCAAGATTATCTGAACAACATTTTAATAAGGGAGTAGACATATCGACTTACAAGCCACTGGAAACCACAGAAGATGAATTTTATCGCAGTACCTACGATCAGCAACCGATATATGATTTGCGATTCGTGGAAAGCGTATCGTCCACTGCGAGGCCATCTAAGGTTAACGTAATGTCACTCGTTCGAAATAAAGCCAAAGTTAAAATTTCATCAACAACTAGCGAACCATTTCAGACTAACATCATTACAACAGATCTACCAACTACAGAAAGTAGCATTATGTCGATGTTACCTAACAAGAAGACATCCTACAACTATACAGACATATACCATAAAGTTCGAGCTGAATTAAACAGACAAATGAAACAGATTCCCGATAATAAAAGCGAAGAAACACATTTTATGGGTATGACTAGTAACATTGACCATGTAAAGCTATCATATGAGACTATACAAGATGGAAAAGATCATAAAGAATCTCGTGGAGATCAACCAAGCAAAACTGATGATTATATTTCTGAAGAATATGTAGAGTCTGAACTGGTTGTTCCAACAACTTCCATTGAACCGTCTTCTACTCCTTCACCTATTTCATCAACTGTCAAACCAATTCGAGGCTATCAGAATCCATTCGGAACTGCTTCTTTAGCTCTGTTTACAACGACGACCATTAAATCACCAAATCCATATTACACAGCACCGTTGGCTCCTTTCCCTGATGATATATTTAAGGAACCACAAGTCACCGCACAATCACAGGTAATATAGGTTTACAAAACAAAGCAACTTTCTTTATATCTCTGATTATATTTTTTTTGTTTATCTGTTTATATTATATAAAAGGTAGAGCACTCTGAGCTTTCCGATATAAATCAGGAGCTGCAAGTTATAGATCACCCGAATGGTAGCCACTTTGTCGTAGAGGATACAAGTCAAGGTAAAAATCTGTATGATATAATCCCATAGAGCAAAAGATTTACGCGATATATTGCAGTGTTTAATGAATACGATGACATCATTCTGGAAAATTCTGAGTTGCAAATATCCCATCATATGCAGCAATATGAAGATCTCCAGCAACGATACATTGGAGGTGAACATAACATGGGAGGACAGAGGTACGAAAAACAGTTACCTCCTGAACAATCATATCGAAATCCGGATAAGCATTATGTTGCTGTGCTGGGCCAGAATAATGATATGCCAGCTCATGTAAGTCAATAAGAGATCGTACGTACCGTAAGACGGGGTGACTTTGGGCTTAGGGGTGACATTGAGCCAATATTGAAAAATGTTAATGCAAATATCTTGAATATACAGAAAATGATAACTGGAATATGTTCCTTGAACTCTTGGAGTAATGTGTAGATAACATTAACCAGTTGTTTTACATAAATAGTGCTGTAAAGTTAAGGATTTTAAATAGTAGCAAAAACACGGTTTCAATTGTTTTTCTTGCTAAAATGTGAATGTTGGGAGGTAGGGAACGATTTATTAAAATTTGATTTCCCATTGTCACCCCCACTTACGATACTTGGTACTTAGTCAGCCATAATGATAAGCGTCACTCGGACTTAAAAAAAAATGTAATTTGCCCTTTTTTACACATTTTCTGTATAAATTTGGCCAGCGATGGAAAAAAAAATGATTATCCCTTTGAAATCATCTTCTTCTTCTTCTTCGCATTTCAAGCTTATTGCATATCGCATATTTGCTTATTGCGTGCTCTCAACTTAGTGTTCTAGGTGCACTTCCACAGTTATTAATTGAGAGCTTTCGATGCCGGTACCATTTTGGCATTTGTATAATTGTGTGGCAAGTCCAATCATACATGCCCAGGGAAGTCGAGAAATTTTCCAACCCGAAAAATTCCTAGACCGGACCGGGAATTGAACCCAGCCACCTCCAGCATGGTCTTGCTTTGTAGCTGCGCCTTTACCGACTGAGCTAAGGGAGGCCTCGCCTTTGAAATCATACACAGTTCGAAAAAGTATCGTAAATTTATGTTACTATGATGCTCATAAATGAGCGTCATATATCATACAAATTTACAATTTAAGTCGTGTAAATACATGAGACATATAATGAAAAAAATCAGATTATTATATGCATTTCTTGCAAGTTGCTAGTTCAAAGTGGCCAATGAATTATCATTTTAAATTCCTGGTTTTCCCGGTTCAAATCTTAAAAAATTTCCGGTTGTTAATATTAAACAAAAAACGAATTTGGACACAGTTTTAAAAAGGCGACCAACGTAAATTTTTGGGAGTTATTTGTGGGAAAAATAGAAGTAAAATTAGAGAAAATGTTTTTTAAAGCTGAAAGTGTATCCCAAGTAACCAACATGCCCGCTAATTCGCCTTTTTGCAATATAAGGCTAATATGCGGCTAATATAAAGCTTAGCATGCCCTGTGTTAGCCGTGCATCAGCCTTATATTGCAAAAAGCCGAATTAGCGAGCTTGTTGGTTACTTGGGAAATTCAACTCTATGAGTCACATAATGTATTCAAAACAAATCATTGATCTTTCAAGATACTTTGAAAAATCAATTTCTATCACTGTTTTTAGCTCGATACATCTTATGATTTCAAAGCCCTAGAATTTTATGAGTAACAGAGATCAAGGTCACTAGGTCAAATACTATCTAGATGATAAGTTATAAGACAGAATCATAGTCTGAGACTTGGAAGCATTTAATGGGTTATAACAAATTACAAAAAAAAAAATCTATAGATTTTTGCGGACAAACCCTGGAATTTTTAGTAAAATTCAAAAGATAGGGCCAAAAAATCAAAAAAAAAAATGCTTTTTTTTCTGACAACATTTACATTTTAGCAAGGAAAATAATTGTAAGCATGTGAATATATTTATCAATTATATGCGACAGTTAGAAGATACTGAGAGGTTAGCACATATCATCGGCAAGAGACGTGCGTGTGAGAAAATTTGCGAAAAAATCCAAGGGCACCGGTGGGATTCGAACCCACAATTCCCATTCAGTACACGGGTGCATTGCCAATTATACAACGGTGGACCTATGGTCTACGGATGTATTTGGCTAATGACATATGAGTTTCGAATCCGTTTCCCTCCCTTTGTCTTTTTGCGCAAGCGTTCTCAATACACAACAATCGTCTATTACCGACGATATGTGCTTGTACCGCAACCACTCAGTATCGGTCGATGTGAACAAAACACAACTCGTCTCTGTTCTACATCACACATGTTGGATACGGGATGTCCAATGCAGTATGAATAGAGCAATGAGCTGCTGGCCTCACCTCCGACCACCGGGCCATAGTGATGATATATCATCAAATTAATTTTCGATTTAGGTTAGCGACTGAAAGTCAATTTTTATTTGTTATATGCGACAGTGTACTGAATGGGAATTGTGGGTTCGAATCCCACCGGTGCCCTTGGATTTTTTCGCAAATTTTCTCACACGCACGTCTCTTGCCGATGATATGTGCTAACCTCTCAGTATCTTCTAACTGTCGCATATAACAAATAAAAATTGACTTTCAGTCGCTAACCTAAATCGATTTATCAATTATATATTTACGACTGTGATGGAAATGGTTGCATGAAATTGGATTCTAATTTTACTAAAATTAAATAAAAATTAGACCAATGTACAACTTAATAGGGGTTGAGGCGTCGCGTGCCTCATTTGTTTACCTGTGCACCAAACTTGGTTCGTTAAAGTTTACCACCACATATTAGTTTTTGTTTAATTTTTGAATGCTCCATAAATTCGTAAAATGCTCAGGATGGCATATACCACGCTCTGCATTATCATTAACTACTTCCAAACATTGAACCCGTCTTTTGGCATTTTTAAACTCGATGGAACTACTCCACCGCTCCATATCGACATTCAGCAACGACTTCGAAATTTGGAGAGCATTGAATAAGTTTTCAATACCACTGCTGCCTTGTACAAACGAGTGTAGTTCAATCGTTTAAATATCGTTGCATTCAACAATGGATCTGGCTGTAATGTTTTTATGAGTATCTGTAAAAAAAATCATTAGAAAATTAAATGCAAATGTATCAATTAAAGCATTTACCTGATATAAGTAAGGCTTCGATGACCTTTTTCTTAACCGGGAGGTCTACATTTTGGTCGAACAGACATAGTCCGATAAGGCTGTTGTCCAAATATTGCAAATGAGTTAAAATTCCTTTATGTACTGCTTTCGCAACGTCTTCATCAACAGTTTCATATTCCTTCAATATTTTTAATAGGTTCAGATCGTTGTTGGGTGCCATCGCAGCACACGGAGAAAGAAATCAACTGTTCAAATAAATTTTTACAATGAACACAAAAAATTGAGCTAGTTGATTTTTAGTTTTATCTGGAAAAGCAAATTCATGCCGAAGAATAAACATTTTCAAAGAATAAATGATTTTGGCCATCCACCTTGCATTGTGGAACGCACCAGAAGCTCTTATTTGTAATTTTTCCACCCAAATATAAAATGGCAAGTTGTAGAACCACTCGGTAATCACCACGGTGGTGTTGCTCTCTAATTTGTTGTTCATAAAACTCCAATAACGCCAATCTTTTTATTTCCGAAATAGCTATTTTAAAAAAATCATCATCCATACCTGAGTGGTATGAAGTCTTTTCCAAAATGTGCCATTTTGATTGGAATTCCTTAAAAATCTCAACATTTGGAGACTTTGACGTTTCAAATTTCAGAATTTTAAAAGCTTTGCCAAGTAGCAGTTCATGTATGTGGTGTCTACAAGGGAGGCCTATAAGCTGCCTCTTTAATAATTTGTCCAGGTACTGACACGCACCTTTTTTTCTACCGGTGTTTGATGCAGTAGCATCAAAAGATGTAAACATAATTCTGTAAACAAACGATAAAATAGTCAGAATTCATACAAGATTTAAGATCATACCTGTCCGCAAGCCCCCATTCGACGACTGCATTGTACACCGCTTCTGCTTGTTGTGCCCCCGTAGAGTTTTCGATGGGTGGAACAGCCAATAATTTGCTAATGCCTTCGCCTGATACAACTATGGCCAAGCGCTCGGTTTTTGGTAGAGCTTTGGATGGTAATATGTTAGGTAGCAGCTTAGAATCCCAATGTACTGTTAAATTTATATCTGGCTTAAACGACGCTTTTAAATCATATTGCATTTGTAAGCGAATTCCTGCTCTGGCGATTCTGACAGATTCCTTGTTCAACAATAATGATGAAACATCGTGCCCTAAAGCTTTAGCGATCGATGATATTAGAAACACAGCATTTCGATCACTCACTTTACAGCGGTCCAATGCAGCAGCTACCTCAACTGTAACAAATCGTATCAGTTGCGATTTATGTGTCAAAGCTGGTTTTAGAGAACCTAGAACGTTCAAAATATATTAATATGGATGGTAATAGGTGTATAATCTAAAAGAAAAAAAAAACATTAGTAAAACATCACAACGTACCTGTTTTTGGAGAAGCTCTTTCGGATGTACTAGGCGAGTACACTGACCCAGCCTGGCTGTCGTTTTGTGATGATGTTTCAATTGAGGTTGCACTACAAATTTGATCCGGTCTTTGGCTTGACCCTTCTTCCTCAAAATCGCTACACGAAATGGTTTCATTGGTAGGGAGAACCTCAGTTTCTTCTTCAAGATGAGCTTGTTCCCGTTGTTTTTGCAAATATTGCATCGCCTGCTTTTCTTCACGGGTTTTTGCCTTAAAATTCTTCCCGATATCAAACAAACTCCGCAATCATCCATGAAATGTGTTCCTTTTTTCGACGTCTTTCTTAGCCATTCTAAGTTTGCATTTTAATAAGGCTTTCCAGGTATTGAAAAATAGCAACAAATTTTTCTTTATGCTTATGTCATTTACCAAATGTGTTGAGTTTTTTTTTCTTCCAAGTATCCTTTAATTCCTTTATTGTTAGGAAGGCACTAAGCTTACAACTTTTTTTTCAGCACGCAAATGAAACATATATTTACGAAAAACTTCACGTCGGCAAGTTAACAGAATGGCCGAACGACGGCAGATATTCTCCAAATAGCCAAATGTCAACCATTTTTAACAAACTGTCGTACTGTTCTCTATCAGTTCTCTGCTTTTTGTCTTCTTCAAACGCACTACTGATTGATCATACATTCTCAGATCGCATCCTTTTTTAAACTAAAGCATAGGTAGAAAAAGCTAAGGTAGAAAAGTTTACGTAGAAATAAGTACTTGAGACCGTTGCTTGCCTGTAGGAGAACACTGTTAGTGTGTGTTTTTCAATTAATACCCAAAAAGAAGCCAGATAAACAATATGCTTTATGCGGGTACTTTTTTGGCACCTCTATAGGGTAGAAATTTAAATGAAACACATATAAAGGGTTGTCCCGTATTAGGTGGATATCTTAAAAAGTCATTGTACTTTCGTCAGATTGTACTGTAAACTAAACAGCACTAACGGTTGTCCTGCACAATTTTCGGAATTATTCTACGATTTATGTCTGTCTATGCTTCTATTTTACGTGGTCTCAGATACTAAAAAGTAACAAATGTTTTGAAGTTTGGATTCTTAAAAATTCCAAAACACAACATGATGATATTTTCAGATACATGCGTTTGGTAAAAAGTAATGGTTTTTATATACCTATTTTGATTTTTGGACCACCCTAATGAAGAATAATTGGACCACCCTAGTGAATTATTTCGTATTAGATCCTAAATGGTGGTTTAATTCGACATATAAGCAGGTTGGAGACAATTGTGAACAGTTTTAGAAGCCGACTCACCAATCTTCCATATAGAACTCATGAAAAAATTGTAAGTCCCAGAAAGTCGATTTTTGAAAAAAAAAATTTTTTTTCGAGATAACACCAAATCTCGACGATCAATGCATTTTTCAGACATTTGGCATCAAACAAAATTTTTTGATTTCCGAAATTTCATGTACCTCCCCCTTGGGAGATTTTCGAGAGTGAAAAAAGTCAAACTTTGACGCGTTTGCGCCACCCCTAAATCATGTCCGATTGAGCTCAAATTTAGCATAAGGTCATTTTTCGAGGCAATAAACATTTTGTATATGGTTTGTTAGCGAAATTAAAAATTACCATTTTCGCTGGCAGTCTTATATATATATATAATCATGCTCCATTCCACTCTATTCAATAATCCGCATCGAATAGTTATAACAATAAAGTAAATAACACATACCTCTTCATCGATTTTTATTTGCAGGTGAAGGAAATCACAGAAGCTCCTGCTCTAATTGATGATAGGACGCAGAAGAATAACTGGTTTCAACGGCAGTTTTCTAAGCTAAAAAATGTATTTTAAGCAACAAATATTGAAGGGGATGATAATTTTAAAGCTATCAATGATTAACAAACTAACTTTATATGAAATTTTTTGTGAACAATTTTGACGCAGATGTCGCAATATTGGAGCTATGTTTAATTTCTTTAACTATAGAGAGTTTTTGGAAAACCAGTTATCACTAAAATATAAGGATTGTTGACTGTTAAAGCTTATTCGAATTTCTTACGTTAAATCTCTTCGAAAAAGGGCTCCTGAATATTATATCTTGTAATCTTGACCGTTCAGGAAGTTTCCGTCTTAAGAGAAGTTGTTCAAATGAGCTGGGCCTTCTAAATGGTGGACAGATTAGTTTAAAAATTCTCTAACTACATGAAGCTAGTATGCATATGAATTTCCTGAACTTACGTCTAACAATCAAAAGACCTTGACTTACTGAACAACTTTTCACAAGCCAGTACCTTTCTATACAGTAAACCAATTTACCCAAACCCCATATGCTAAGACCCTTTTGCGAGGTCCCTATTAAGCGTGTCATTCGATGGTAATGCTATAGGCAGGGAAGGATCCATCTCAGAGCATGAGCATGATTGACCACCCACGTTGCTACTCTGTTATTGCCCGATCAGCTGTAATTACAAAGAGAACCAATAGACGATGATTGGGTCTCAATGTGTAAAAACTAATGATTTCAAACTAGGCAATACCTGTGCCAGCCGCATCCGACCGCATGTCAAGCAAGGAATTGGTAGGAATGTGTTGACGTGACACTGGCTTTGATGGAAACCGAGAACGAAGAATCACTGGGATATTGGGTAAGTGGGTTGGGATTGCAGCAGGGTTCGTTTTGGTTAACGATAAGCTGAATTGATGTCCTACCGATCATATAACGCAAAGGAGCTTGGGATTGAATCCAGTAAGCAAAAAATTTTGCCTGGTGGCACTAGCACTAGCTTTTTAATCGTCGAATTGTTGTTATTACCATGTAGTCATGTTAACAAATAAAGCGATTGACGAATCTTGAATGTTGATGGGCCCGAGATTAGACTCATGATGTTCTGCTCAGTAAGCAAAAACGATCGCTTTAAGGTCACCAAGCCCCTTTACTCGAGTTGTTGTAACCATTCAAACCCGGCACCGGCGACGACAAGTTTCGCAAAATAAACGATAAACAATCGATCAACTAAATATCTTCAAAATGAAAGGACCTGGCACCGCGTTTTTCTGCTCAGTAAGCAAGACACTGCAAACGACGATCTTTCAAATCAGAAAACTAAAAGCTACGAAAAAGCACTTCGGCCTTCATTAAATTCCACTTTCACTCGAAGTTCAATGTTTAGATTTGCTCTTCACGCATTGTTCAGGCTATCGTGTCTATTACATCATAACAGGCTATAGCAGCACCGGTGGTGTAGTGGTAAGCGTTATTGCCTCCCACTTCAACAGGCCTTGGTTCAATCCCAGTCGGCGCCGCCGGAATGTGCTGAGGCATAACATCTCTTATCACGCCTTCCTTCGGAAGGGACGTAAATCCGTTGGTCCCCGGTTCATGAGTTGATGGGTCGATAGGTAGGGTCCAGGTGTGTCGGTGGCATTGGTGCTCAGCACGGAAAACAAGATCGACAGAAAACAAATCAAGGAAAAAATCATAACAGGCCAACGTAACGATTGTTAAGGTGATGATTAAACAAGATTTTAAAGTGAAATTAGGTTCTCGAAAGCAGTCAATAATATATCCCAAAATGGATCACGTATGCACTCTGTTTTTTTTTCCCTAAACATTCCGAAGCGTTCTGCCCAAGATCTAACAGGTACAATTGTCTACAATAGTGGCTAGGGATAAATCATAATGTATTTTCCCCCACAAGACTCATCTTTGTTCTTGCACTCGGATGCATACCTAACCGACAGTTTCGCTTATCTTATGTTCTATCTTAAACCGTAAACAGATCACGCGCGATCGAGATCATCCTGCCAGGAAACAAACGGATTGTTTTTAACTGGAACAAGCTCATCATATACAATTACCATGTCAGCATCAACACAACCTTAAACAAATTTTGTAAAAGAAAAGGAAAACTACACACAACCACATAAAAGCACAAAATAGGGAACATGGCACACTCCCTTATGCAAATGCCACCATCATAAAACCTCCAGCGAACTTTTTGAATCACAATACATTATAAATAGCAATCCGAAAAAGTTCGCTCCTCTACCCTCTAAAACCGATTGATCGCAAACTTATCAGCAGAATATACGTAACAATCCGAACTTCCACTGTAGTCACACTGTTTAGAATAATAGCTTCAGAAACAATAATAAACTTTTGTCAACAACCCTCCGAAATCGTACAACACAAACGTAGCACACCGGTAAAACTATGATCGATTTACGGTGCTGTAAGATTGATCCATTCCTCTTAAGATCTATCAGTTACGATTTTCTGCAATAGTAGCCTACGATGAATCGTAATTACTTGTCCGCCACAAGACTCAACAATTTTCTTGCACTTGGGTGCACACTACAGTGTTTCAAAATAGGTCAATCCTGGGATTTCAAACGCTTCTGGTAGTCCCCCTGGTCAGAAACTCCCTACCAAATTGTTAAGTCATTTGGTTCACGGGAACCCCTCGCTTAAAGAGCATAAAGTTTGTGTGGGAAAAATCGACCAAATGTATGGGGGAACTATCCACTTTCACATTCGCGGCTGTAGGTGGCGTTGCAGTTGGTCGATTTTCATCGTGTACAAAATGAAGAACCTTTGGAGTATTGGGAACATCTTGGCTCAAGACCAGATGTGAATTCAAGTTAACCCCGAAAAGTTATTAGCGTTTCAAATGAACACCAGCTGCCTTACTGTTGGTGAGGGTCTAGGAGCTGTTCACTAACTACGTAGCCCCCCCCCCCCTCCCCATGGGTAGACAATTGTTCATACATATTTTTTTTAAATTTTGTATGGGCCGTGGATAATTTCCAACCCCCCCCCCCCCCTTTACCAGTCTACGTAATTAATGAACAGCCTCTACGCGCTTTGTACGATTTTTATTTTGACGAACAAACTACGAATAGCAAAGTTTGCATGGGTATAACTTTTTTGTTTCACCATAAAATTGGCTGAGCTTTTCACTGGCAGTAGAAAAATGTTCGAATTTATTGTCTACTGAAAAATGGAACAGAGTGGTTCCGGTTTTATTCCGCGTTTCCTAGAGGCCATGGGGGGAAGAAGGTACTAGTCGTCTAGAACAAGGTGATGCTGGAAATCTACATCAACAGGCATCTATGGGTGGTGAAGTGGTAATCGTGATTACCTCTCACCCCAGCAGGCCTGGGTTCGATCCAAGTCGGCGCCGCCGGTATGTTCTAAGGCATAACATCTCTGATCACGCCTTCCTTCAGAAGGGAAGTAAACCCGTTGGTCCCCGGTTCATGAGTTGATGGGTCGATAGGTAGGGTCCAGGTGTGCTAGCTGCCTCCCTGGCGTCGGTAGCATTGGTGCTCAGAACGGAAAACAAATAAAGAAAAAATAATAGAATAGGTACACAATCGCGCGTAATAAGAATTCACAAGCGATAAAGAAAACTCGTTGTAAATATGTCCAGAGGACGATTGATCAGCATCAAAACAACAGAAAAGTCTTATGAAAATTATTGAAATCTGTATTAGAACCTAGTAATTGTAGACCGCGGTTCATAACTTCACAGCTAAAAATTCTCAATTTTAATAGTGATGTAAACATTCATTCACGTAACCTTGTATTTCATTTCACGCAACCGAGCAACTTGTAAACAATGTTGTTTACAACAATGGGCTTTTGTATACAATATTTGCTACATCGCATGAAATGTCTCAGAACTTTACATGATATATAATGTAAACTTATATGCATTGCTTAATCGATTCATTGATCATTAATCAAAATCTGACGAAATAAAACAGCCAGTTAATAGTAATTGTAGATTTGTTTTTCACCCAATTACATTAGATGAACTTAGAGTTATTTGTTTTTCATTAGGAAAATCGGCTCGAGTAGATAATGTTAATTCTAGAGTTATTCAAGACTGCTTTCATGTCATTGGTCACATCTTGCTGGACCTTATTAATGAATCATTGCAAACTGGACACGTGCCACAAATGTGGAAGGAATCCTTAGTGGTTCCTATTCAATAAGTTGCTGGAAAATTTTAGAACTTGTTGTTTAAGGCCAACTCTTGGAGTATTTAAATAGTAATATATTGAAACCAGAAAAATCGGGATATCGGGAAGGTCATTCTTGTAAAACCGCGTTTTAGATACAAGTACTGCATGTGAATGGATCGAAAGCTATTTGTGTGATTGAACTAAAACGATTATTTTTGATGATTCCATTTCCAGTCCCGTGGGGAATAACCTTGGAGTACCCCAGGGAAGCGTATTAGGGCCCCTTTTAATTTTTATGTATATTAATGATTTGCTACGTGTTTTACGATTTTGCGACATTAATCTTTTTGCATATGATACTGTGTTATTCATTGCAACTAAGGATTTAGATGATGCCGTTTCACACTTGAATGATGATATGCATTATTTATGTAGATGGTTGAAGTATAAGCAATTGAGATTATATATAAGTAAAACTAAATTTATGGTAATTTCGCGGAATCGAGTAAATGAGAACATCTTTGTTGTAATTGATGATGATACTATTGATCGCTTTGGGAAGATTAAATATCTTGGCGTGATTATTGATGACAAATTTAAGTTCAACTCTCACATTGACAATGTCATCAAGAAAATTGCCAAGAAGTATGGTATTCTATGTCGATTGAAAAACGATTTAACTATTGCCAGTAAAATACAGCTATACAAATCAATCATCTCTCCTCATCTGGACTTTTTCCCTTCCATTTTATTTTTGGTCAATGCAACGCAAATATTGAGATTACAGTGCGAGTAAAATAATGCGTTTGATTTTAAGATGCATTAGATTCACTTCCTCAACTTTGATGCTAAACGCCTTACAATGGTTGTCGGTGAAGCAAAGAATTGTATCATTGACTATGGTGTTCATTTTTAAAGTAGTTACCAATTTGCTGCTTCGATATTTGTGTAATCGAATTGAAAAAAGAAGTGACTTTCATAGATATAATACTATAAACGCGGTTGAAACAAGAACACCACATATCTTGACTTATGCTTCACAAAAGTCATTATATTTTATAGGAATAAATGTTTTTAATTCAATGCCCAGACACATTAAACGTGCAACTACAATTACAGAATTTAAGAGTCATTGCATTTCACAATAAGGGGGAGTTCACCGCTCCGAAAAAAATAATTACGTTTTGATTTTTCTAAAAATATTTAAAAAAGGTATAAAAATCTCATTTTTTCTAATTTTTTAAAGAACTTTCACGTACAATTTTTTTTTATAAGTCATTATGGCGTAAAGTTCCACCACAAAACTTGGATTTTTTGGGTTTTCTGAGGGTCCAATTTTTTTTTCATGATGAGATAGAAAGAAAAAAAAATACTTGTAATTTTTGACAAAAATCTAAGAAAGAAACTGATTTTCTTTGATTTTTGATATTTTTTCCCAATATTTTTAGTAAAATAAAAACGTACCGATTTTTTATTTTTTTTATTTTCGGTCCGGTAAACTTTCCCTTAGAGCTGTCTTTTGAACAGTTATGTAATGATTATTTTTTATGAATTGACAAATTATGTATCTATGTTTTTAACGGATTATTTTATATGGATAGCTGTCATAACGACTTTTTAATAATTAAAGTAACACTGAAAAAACTATTTCTGTTCGCCTCGATGGTGATGATGGATTTTATATATTTGATTTAATAGTAGTAGATTTCAAAAAAAGTAGTCTATAAATGTTTGAGCCTCGCGCGCGTATTACGGATATAGAAGACTGAATTCAAAATTAGATAAAAAAAAAATGCTATTTTGAAGCATATTTGGAAGATACCTTGAGTAAGTAGTATGTTTTCTTGAAATATTGGGGGTTGGTAAGCATTCCTGACATTGCTGAAAATTATGATAGTGTCAGATTACGGGGTTGCTAGTGTAATAGAATGATTTGTTGATTGTCTTAATATCTTAAATCGTCCAGCTCAAACCTTTGTGGGGGTAAGAGGTATGACCATCATCATCACCATTTCGAGAGTTCAACTCTACCCGGTGAAAGGTCATCATCACCATCTTCATGATCAGAATGGATTATTGTCATCGCCATCTGAAGCCACGCACAAGCAACAGCAAACGACTACCTATTTCCTGTACCAGCTTATGCGGTTATTGACTCAACCGGCGTGTTAAGTATAACAGGATTGTTTTTTTTTTCGATTGCCTCGAGCTACTGTATAGCAAAGTCCTGCTTCGAGGCTGGCACGTCACTGGCGCGTGCTCGTTTCGAACTACTGTGAGTGAGAAAACCTTGAACAAGTAGGGGAAATGACGGCTTCGGCATGCCAGACTATTTTCGGCAACCCAAATTGAAACACTATTTTCACTGGATTTTCTTACGAAAACACTAGGGCTTCTATTTGACTATATTTTTACCACTGTGAAAAAGCAATCTAGCAAGGTTTTCTTGAAATGAAACACACGCACTACAAATTGTAGCTGATTTCGAGTTGCCGATAATAGAACAGCAGATTTACATGCAGTTCAAATGGAACGGTTGCCGATGAAAAACTGGTTGCCGACAATACTCGCTCTCACTAGAGAAGATTGGAGCTTTGTAA